TATACAATAATCTCTTCTCAAAAATTTTAAATTTATCGTAATAACTCATAATTAATTAATTTATAATTATTTTATGTAAACTCTTATTTTATAAATTACGAATACTCAATTATAAAATCATCGATAAAATTATGAAAAAGAAGTCAAAATTATGAGTGTAGCATTCCTATTTTATCGAGACGTCTGCTCCCTATAAAACTAAAACTAAAGAGACGATTGAGACTTGGCATTTGGCAGTATTACGAATTTACCATGCCGTAGCCGTATGCGTTGATTTTCAACAGCACAGCAAAACTAAACACGTTACGGCAACGGAGTTCGCCATTACTCTATTAAATCGTGGGCTCCATTTTGGGAAGTCATATGATTTACTTTTATTTACGGTTCTTGACCCGCGTGGACAATGGGACCTACATCCTAAGGGCTACCCCACATAAAATACAATTAAGCTGCCGACGAAATGTAACGAGAAAACCATGGAACGGTGGAAGTCTTGAATTATGGGTAATTTGAATCCGGAAATTGCGCCATTTTTTTCTTTTCCTTACTTCACTTTCCCTGTTTCCCATTGTTTACGTTTTCACTCTTTCGGCTTCATATTTTATTTTTCCAGTTTACTTTGACACGTTGTGTGCACCTCTCTATTCAATTTGTCGTTAGTCTACCTGTTTAGTCAGAAAAAGAATTTTAAGTTAACGCTTTGGATTTGGACCTAATTTTACGGAGATTAATGCACATGCGCCTTCTTTGTCAGCTTTAGGTGTTTTGTAAATACCACATCTTATAATTGTACTTAATTTTGACTTCTAATTATTTTTTCCCCTCAAACTAACCATAACTAATGCTTCTTCATCAAAAAAGTTGGTTACGTTATTATCATATTATTTTATTATTATATTTCAATCTCATTTGTACCATACATACCATGTCAATTTGTAACCAATTATTTTTTGAATAATTGTTTAAATTCAATGTAATTAATCCTTAATTAAACAATAAAAATTGTAATATTTTAACCTAACATAATAGAATGTACAAGTAGTATTAAATATATAAACTATTCTCTATAAACTACTAGAACAATTATGTATATTTGTTATGTAATTTATTTATTTATTTAAATTGTAAGAAAAATGAAAAAATATACATATGTAAAAAGAAATTGATAACATTTCTGTTTGAAGTAATGCAAAACTTGTGGAATACATCGCGGGCTACAGAATAATTCATTTGACTTAAAAGTCTGTTCACACGATTGACAAATACGGGCAGTAAAGTTTGAAATTTTCTTGGTCATCAAGACATGAGGCCAGGAAGAGTCGTTGGCCACGTCAGTCATTACAAAAAAAATAATGACGACATGGTTGATGGATGTACTAGTGGAAGACACGTGTCATGACTCAGCAACACAGCTGGGTTTGTTGGCTGGCAAATGTCGGGCTTGCATGGCTCTACTATCCTACGTGGACTGTGGATCCCACGCATCTTCATATTAGGCCTATCATCCATTAACATAAGTGGCGTGTAGAAATTACTTTTATTTAAATAACAGCGTGATCATTTTTATCCAAGCTTTTTTTATGAGTCCGTTTGATTCACAATTTTGTGTTTTTGGGAAAAGTTTTTTGAAAAAAGTTAAAAAAAAAGTTGAATTGGACGGGTATTACGATGTAGGATTTACAAATTGTAAAATACCCCCTATGTTTATTTTTTTACAAAACACCCCTTATAATAAAACATTAAAAGTTAACAAAAATACCCCCAATCCACCCTCAAATACGGACAGCCGGCCACCACCGCCGGAGGGTAGCCAGAGTCGTCGTAACAAAAACATTAAAAATATTTAGGGGTATTTAATTGAATTAACAAATTTAGAGGGTTTAAAAAATATTGAATAAAGTTGAATAATATTGTGAGTTTTTGGGTATTTTACTGTTTAACTTTTTTGGGAATACTAAAAGTAGTATTCCCAAAATCCAACCAAACGAAGCCGAGAGTTTTTGGGTATTTTACTGTTTAACTTTTTTGGGAATACTAAAAGTAGTATTCCCAAAATCCAACCAAACGAAGCCGTAATTAGTTATTCTATGAATTAATGTTAATTTGGAATTTTTTTTTTTTAAAGTGGTGTCTAAATTAGCTTATATGCATCTCAATTAATTCTTCGATACTTTAAAACTATCGATCGAATAAGATTTTCAGTGATCACCTCTATTAGAGGTCGTGAGAACTCGAATTTGATAAACTACCATGTTAGATCACTCTTCTACTCTTTTATCATCAAAAAAACTTGAATTTGAGAGATAATAATAAATCATTTTTTACTATTTTACTATTAAACTACCCAATGGTTGTTGAATTCAGACTAATTGTTGTCTAAATTTGAACGGTATTAAAAAGGTAAAACAACCGTTTTATAGATGTGAAATAGCAATGATATACGTTGCATTGAACTTATATTAATGCAATATATGCGTCATAAAATTTAAGATAATGCACAATTATTGTCCTAATTTAACCGTTGATTTAAATAGCAGTAGTCGATGCTTTTTAATTTTGTCACCTTATTAATATGATAGAATTATCTCAGTGCGATATATTGAGTGGCACACATTAGAACATAATCATGGAGAAGTTGATTGTAGTTATTTGATTTTGACCGTTTAATTCAAATTGATGCCATGGATGTTTATGACTTCTATTATGTGATGGAAGAAAAATCTTTGGCATCGTGTTGAAATAATTATTCTCTCTAGAAAGTAATAGTAATAAAGTTTATTAAATTTTATGAATAATATTATACTTACAATTTAATTATATAATTTTTTTTTCTCTTATAATTTCGACATGATAATTCATAATTAGTTAACTTAAAGTATATTTCACCTGTTCAAATATAAGTTAACAAATTACAAACGATTACATCGAAATTTTGAGAGAAAATTATAAATTATGAACATATCTTTATTGATTTTTTATCTCATAAAATAGTTATCAATTTCATATGATATATAAATAGTTGACTAAATAAAATTAAGACATTCCATTTCAACATTATTACTTAAATCTCTAAAACCCATTATTACTTGTTTAATATGTAGAAATTATGAGAGAGCTAGAATCAATTTAGGGTAGTATGATAATATAAAAATAAAACTTGAACTAATAATTCAATTGGATTGATTTGGTGAGGGATTTCAAAAGCTTAAAATATTAGTTATTTCGGCCACATGTCATTGTCTATATCGGTGACCCGATTAATATATTTCCAAAAAGAAAAACAAAGCAAAACTTGTGCTTTATTACGAACAAAAATATTTATAAATCTAACGGATCACAACGAAGCAGTTTCAAATTGGAGAGTTCCATCAGCGTCAGCCAAGCATCACAAGTAAGCGAAAGCGCGTTAACGGTGGTTAACTGTTGTTTAATTAAGAAAGGGGCATTTTAGTCAAATAAACCATGTGGTTGGCTGTTGTTTGATCAAGAAAAGGGGCAATTTAGTCAAATAAACCATGTGTTAGCCATGAATATGATGCTATATGTGGTGGCGAGCGAGCGTGCGTTGACGCGTTACGAGGACGCGGACGCGGTGCACCTCATGAGAGCTCAAGAGTGGGGTCCTTCTTGAGCGCCGACGATCCAGCCGTGTAGGACGTGACACGTGGGGCCCACTTTGGTTGATGTCGTTTTCTATACATCGGACACTTGAGGTGGAAACGCTAGGGTCCACTTAACCCCTGCGCCAAACGGCACTATTAAATTGTATTTATACACTAATAGTAATGCAGGATGATGATGTTGATTATGATGGTGATGAAATGGACTGGAACATGCATGCATGCATCACATAACTTTACTGTCTCTTAATTGCTGTTTCAGAGATTTGTAGATGTAACGTATGTTTTAATTACGTTAAGATATGTTATCCCATTGCCTAATTAATTTTCAAACTGTCGTTTTTTCATTTAGTTATTGCACAGGAATTGAATCCAGCGAAAAAACACTTAACACTAATAACCAAAAATAACTTATTATAAAAATTAAAGTTGGAGGAGTTGTTGTTGTGGTGAATGTGACCTATTCTCATTGTAATGAATGAACTTCAGTTAGGTGGCACCTATTTAATGCAGTAACATTTCTTTTACTTATAATCAATTTAATAAAATTGGGAAATTGAAGAAAAAGGGCCAAGGTATAAAAAGCCAACAGTATGTGTTGTTGATCTGCCGCTGTGCCACCGAGAAATGAAAACGCATAAGGCCAATAATGTCATTTCACAAAAAACGTTACTAGAAGTAAAATATGATTTGACAAGAGACCATCAAAACAAACAAAAACAACTCCACCACCNTATTCTCATTGTAATGAATGAACTTCAGTTAGGTGGCACCTATTTAATGCAGTTACATTTCTTCTACTTATAATCAATTTAATAAAATTGGGAAATTGAAGAAAAAGGGCCAAGGTATAAAAAGCCAACAGTATGTGTTGTTGATCTGCCGCTGTGCCACCGAGAAATGAAAACGCATAAGGCCAATAATGTCATTTCACAAAAAAGGTTACTAGAACTAAAATATGATTTGACAAGAGACCATCAAAACAAACAAAAACAACTCCACCACCCGGCTTAAAAGTGGATGCATGCCTTCGTCCACTCTCCAGGTCCACCACCTAAGTAATAAAAATCTCGTGAAATTGAAATACTATTTTTCATAAATGATCTCGTGATGTCAACCAATCAGCATTTAGGAAATTAATTATATATTAATCTGTGTTTAAATTGCATATCAAAAAAATTCAGGTCAACCCTCGCCGGAATCCAGAACACCGACTCATCTTTAACAACTTTGAATTATTAAGTTGTAACGACTTGATTAATTAAAAAAAAAAAATAAATGTTATAATTTAATACTGTATTATAATTAATAGTATTTTATATATATATATATATAGGGGGGGTATAGGGGTTCTTCGAAACTTCAACTTGTAGTGCTTAATTGAGAGAATTTGATTCAAAAAGAATAAAGTCTAACTTGTCAAGAGAGAGAGAGAGAGATTTACATAAAATAAAAGGAGAGAGAATCTGGTGGGCTTTGAGCTGTGATTTAGCTGTCTCTTGATGTATTACTTCTCACACACATATCTCCAAAATCCCTAGAAAAAACCCCTCACTCACATTCCTCTTCTCCTCACCTTCTTTCTCTCTCCTCTCCTCTCAAATCCAAACCCTTTCCTCTCCCCCACGTTTTGCCTCAGATCTCAAGGCCAGCATTTGTTTTGCAGTCTCAGCTTCGGAATTAGGAATACCAAGAGCTTAAGAAAACAAAAAAGTGGCATTTTGTAAATCAGATGTCTCATGTGAGATGAAGAAGAAGACTCATTTCAATCTTCACTCTTCTTTTCATTTCTCACTTCTCATTGCCTTCTTTCTCAGCACACTAGTGTGTTGTTGCTCTGCTGACCAGCTGCCCATTACAACCCATGGAGGCCTCACTGATGCAGAAGCGCAGTACATCAAACACCGCCAGCTCCTCTACTACAGGGACGAGTTTGGTGACAGAGGGGAGAGAGTCACTGTAGACCCTTCTCTTGTTTTTGAAAACTCGAGAATAAAAAATGCTTATATAGCATTACAAGCTTGGAAAGAAGCTATTCTCTCTGATCCTTTCAATTTAACTGCAGATTGGGTTGGATCTGATGTCTGCAACTACACTGTAGTTTACTGTGCCCGTGCCCCTGATAATAAGACCATCCGAACTGTTGCCGGCATTGATCTTAACCATGGTGATATCGCTGGGTATTTGCCTGAAGAGTTAGGTCTTCTTTCTGATCTTGCATTGTTTCACATCAACTCCAATAGGTTTTGCGGTACTGTTCCTCACAAGTTTCAAAACCTCAAATTACTGTATGAGCTGGATCTTAGCAACAACAGGTTTGCCGGTAAGTTCCCAAATGTAGTTCTCAAGCTGCCTCAACTCAAGTTCCTGGATCTCAGATTCAACGAATTTGAAGGCACTGTACCTAAGGAGCTTTTTGACAAAGATTTAGATGCTATCTTTATCAACAGCAATCGTTTCAGATTTGAAATCCCGGACAATTTCGGAAACTCCCCAGTTTCAGTAATCGTCCTGGCCAACAACAAATTCCACGGCTGTGTGCCTTCAAGTCTTGGTAACATGTCGAGACTGAATGAAATTATTCTCATGAATAATGGGTTAAGGTCTTGTTTGCCACAGGAGATAGGGATGCTCAAGAATTTGACGGTTTTTGATGTGAGTTATAATGAGCTTATGGGTCCTTTGCCAAACACAATTGGAGGAATGTTGAGTCTTGAGCAACTCAATGTGGCTCACAATATGCTTTCTGGAAGCATTCCAAAAAGCATTTGTCAGTTGCCAAATTTGCAGAACTTTACCTTCTCTTACAATTTCTTCACTGGAGAACCGCCGGTTTGCTTGAGTTTACAGTCGTTTGATGATAGAAGGAATTGCTTACCGTCTAGGCCGGTACAGAGGTCGGCAGCGCAATGTAAGTCGTTCTTGTCTAAACGTGTGGATTGTTCTTCGTTTAGATGTAAACCTTTTGTTCCTTCTTTGCCACCTCCACCTCCCCCTTCACCACCAATGCCGGTTCCTTCTCCTCCTGTTGTGGTTCCCTCACCTCCACCCCCAGTTTCCTCTCCACCACCACCACCACCACCACCACCTTCTTCACCTCCTCCCCCAGTTTACTCACCACCACCTCCACCTCTTTCGCCCCCACCACCAGTTTACTCTCCCCCACCGCCGCCTCCTTCACCTCCTCCACCACCCCCGCCAGTTTATTCACCACCGCCTCCTCCTTCACCTCCACCACCAGTTTACTCACCGCCACCACCACCTCCTCCACCAGTTTACTCATCACCTCCTCCTCCGCCACCATCACCATTGCCCCCATGTGTCCGTTCACCACCACCGCCTCCACCAAATTCACCTCCACCTCCATTATTCTCTCCACCACCACCAACCCCTTATATTTATAGCTCACCACCTCCGCCACAACACTCACCTCCTCCACCACCACACTCACCTCCACCACCACCACATTCACCACCACCTCCTGTTTATCCATACTTATCACCTCCACCTCCTCCACCTCCTCCACCAGTCCATTCACCGCCACCACCATCTCCACCACCTTGTATAGAACCACCTCCACCTCCACCACCCCCATGTGCTGAATATTCACCACCGCCGCCGCCACCATCGCCAACGCCGCCACCACCAATTCATTACAAGCCACCACCATCACCATCTCCACCACCACCACCTGTAGTCTATGCTTCACCACCTCCACCAGTTCACTACAGTTCACCACCACCACCGCCAGTTCACTACAGTTCACCTCCACCACCGGTTCATTACAGCTCACCTCCCCCACCAGTTCATCACCATTCACCACCACCACCACATTACAGTTCACCTCCACCACCAGTTCATTACAATTCACCACCACCACCATCGCCGCCACCGCCAGTTCCATGTGAAAACCCACCACCATCTCCATCACCGCCACCTCCTACCCCAGTATATGAAGGGCCATTGCCGCCAGTGATTGGAGTCTCTTACGCTTCGCCTCCGCCACCACCCTTCTATTGATTCTTTTGAGAATTTTCGTCCTCTAACCTTTCATCAACTACACAAACATTAGTTACGGAGTACGGCTTTATTATCCTCTTCTGGTTGGGCAATTCTCGTCGCTCTGTGGAGGAAGAAAAATAAAGAGATTGAAATTGGAGATTAAAAATAGTTTTGTGCAGTTATTGGAATTGAGTGATCCCGAAGAGGTGAAAAAGAAAAGAATAGAGAGAGGTAAGAGGAGAAAGTCTCTCCATATTTATTTGAATTGTTATGAATATTTGAGTTGTGAAATAAAAATGGCAGAGAAAGAGTTTTAGGTTCCAGAGAAAGTGTATGTATAGGGATGAATTGGTGACCATTATCATCACAGCTTACAGATTGCTTTGCTGGTGTTCGTGATGGCTTTGGTTTGTGGGTTTTTTATTGTTATTATCTCTTCTTCTTCTTCTTTTTAACTATCATACTTTTGCTTTCTTTTCCATTTTATAGTATAATCATGAACATTTTACTTGTATTTGATTTCAGAATTCTTCTCATTCCTTATATTCTCAGTTTTTCTTTCTTACTTGTGAATCCATATTTGTATATTGATTATTATGGTGTCAATTCAGATAATGGATCTCTGTATAATTAATCCATTTGTTTCTCCATGTCTTGACACTAAACAATAACTTTCCAGAGCTTATACATGGAAACTGTTATTATTATTATTGGTGTGCCTCTGGTTGTTTTGGTTTCTTCCAAGTCCCAAAGTTTCGATCGAGGGATTCAATTCCCCCCTTCATTTGATTAAAAATATTTGGTGGGATTGGTATCATGTGCTCCCACTAATTTAGGTTTTTGAATTCAAACCTGTTTACTGTCTAGTGTATACCTCACGCTCATACACACACACACACACACTCTCTCTCTCTCTCTTTCATTGGAATGTGGAAATGTTGATCCTGCCCTGCTATTCTTCATCAAAAGCTTCAAAAAGTGTAGTCAGCTTATAAGTCTCTTTCAGTTTTATGAGATAAATGCATGCAGTTGGCTGGTGCTGTTGACTGTTGTTCCTTCAATTCAATATTTTTCTTGTGAAAAGTCTGCAAAACATGTCAGTTTCCCCACAACTGATTTTTACCCTCTCAGATTATTTCCTTCATGAATCTTCAAATCCAAGTTCTTCCCGAGTGCTTTTTTTCTTTTTCTTTTCTAATGGTTGTGATCCTTGTGGACTTGTATCTTTCTTTTGAACCTCCTTTTCAATAATTAACCATCCGGCATGGGGGACGCTCAGTAATCCGTGCATAAATTATTCAATTTTAAAGCGTCGGTATCCGACTATTATATGAACACCATACTATTTGGTCCACCACCAACACCACCAAATTTTACCAACTAAACACTTGATAATGAAATCAGATCTATTTCTAATCCACTATCATCCCATAATTGCTTGTTTCTGTCAAATCGCATTTGAGATTCTTCCTTTTTGGACTGAGTGGAACTTATACTGGGTTTACTTTGTATGGGAAGTTGCAAGTCTCTTTCTGTCTCAAAAATTATTCACTCAAGAGGAAAGACTAAACATTTTCATGGAGCCTTACAGTCAGTTTCCATTCTAAAAAGCTATTATTCTATCGAAAAACTGGGAAAAAAGTTATCTTCCATAATCTTGTCTGGCATTTACAGGGCCATGTGCATCTCCATAATACTATTGCTTTTACCTCAACTTCTTTTCCCTTAAAAAAAAGGAAGGGGAGGTCGCTTTTTGCACCAATTATGCATTTTAAGTTTAAAGTGTCTTATTCAACTCCCTGGTAGGCAGCTCTTCACTTTGATTTTATTACTGTTCTTTCCATACACCCGAAACCCAAATTCTGCTTTCCCGTGTTTCGATTTCGACCATAGAACTTGTAAAACGGCAATGTATCTCCTTCAATTCCACCACAAAAGCTGCAGGGTGGCTTACTTAGACAAACTAAAAGATTCAACATAACATAAGAGAGGGCACGGTATATAAAATCGTGAAAAATAAAGTGGAGAGAAGGTATTAAGTAACATTAAATTTGAGATAACGTGGATTGGACTAGCGGTTATAGAGGTTTGTTCTATTTTTTGAGTTTCTGGGTTCAAACATTAGGGTCACTTACCACGATAAAATTGTGGTTTACCTGGTTTTTGGGCTTGCAGGATGTCTAATGGACTTCGAGGATTAGTTAAAATACGCGTAAATTGATTCGAATACTTCGATTACCCAAAAAAAAATTAAATGTGAGATTAATAATAAAAATGTGGAAGTGATGATACATTAGTGTGAAAAGTTCACTGGTTAAAATAAGATAGATTATATAACTGATTGGTGGTAGTATTAAAAAAAACTTATACAATTAATTCCACATTTTAGGTCAATAATACAATTGTGGGTCACTTTCTCAGCTCTAAAATTTTATTGAATGCCATTAAATTTGCATTACCTAAGGCAGTCGCAGTTATAAGGTTAGATCATAGAGTTATAATTAATATTGGATTTTATATTCGACAATGTATGGAAAAGCTGGATTCCGCCTATACATCAACACACCATTATGGGTCACTTTCTCAGCTTTTAAAATTTTATTGAATGCCATTAAATTTGCATTAGCTAAGGCAGTTATAAGGTCAGATCATACAGTTATAATTAATTTTTGGTTCCCCTTTTTATTTGAAGGGTTTAGGGTTCTAGTCTACTTGTCCTTTTCTTTTTTCTCAAATTAATGATACATGCAAAGACATCCCACCATATATTATATTGATATAGACAAAAAGGGCCCTACTTAGATGATATCCACATGGGCTGTTAGGGCTTTTCACATCATGTACATAAGTTTGTTGACTTATTTTCATTAACCCAATTCATTTAACTATTATTTAATTAGGGCTCTACCTACAGCCTGTGATTGGGTCAAATTTATTAATATATATATCATAAAGGAAGATGCTCAAATTGAAAACTACATTACAGAAGTTTCTCCACCAAATCCTTTTCTTTTCTAAACGATGATTATTTAAAACAAATTGCCATGATAAAGAGAAGACACACATAAGCATACAAATGCATTTGTAATTGCCACGTGGAATATGGAATTCAAATAAATGAAGGAGACAAGATTAGTTGGATGGTAAGAGGAAGAGGGTCGGCCAAATTAAGTAATTAATGAGGTAATTATACATTAAATTGATAATTAAGCAATTAATGTATTGAAGAATCACAGAATGGGCGGTCGGCAGCAACCTTTGTTGTGGTGGTGTTTGCACACAAGATTCTTACTTGTCTTTGTACAAAGTGTTCGTATTCTTTTTGGAATATTTCTAGTGATTGGAGATAAAAACAAAGGAATATTTTTAGTTAACGCTGAGATATTGTCAGATACTCTCTTTTATATTTTTAATATTTACTTTCATGTTTCAATTTTTTTTTTCTTGTGATTATGCTTTTAACCCATACTGGGAAAAAGGCATATGGTTTGTTGAGATCATATTATTAAAAGGATTGATATTTAAATATTAAAGTGTAAGAAAAAAATTATTTAGTTTCTAAGTTGAGAACTATTTGCAAAAAATTTGGTAACCTAGGATGATCGATAATGAATCATACATATATGTATCTCTTAAATATAATTGTAAATCTTGACAATAGTTGAATAGATAATGTTGTGCAAGGATGCGCGATCAGCTCGAAGCAAGCAGTAGCTTGGAGCGAGCTGTTGAACAGTTATCTTTCAAATCATGGATAAACATTATCTCATGAAATCAATGAGAATATCATTTGAATAATATAATAGTGGACATAGGTTTGATTTGAAGTCGCTGAACCACTTTAAAAATTTTTTTTGATTATTTTACTTTGTAGTTTAATTTATTACTTGCTAATTTTCATTAATTATGCATACATCATACTCAATTCTTTCAAAATGAATTGAGTATCATAAGTTGATGCGGATTTTCATAATATGAGAAAAAAGAAATGTACAAATGGATATTTTATAATATGATTTCATTCAGTAAATGAGAACTTAAAAAGAAATATTTTTAACTACAGAATATAATGGAATAATTAATTGCTGCAGTAAAGCAAAAGAGTTTCTAGAATTCCTTACAATTTCAAAGACTAGAGGATGTTTATGATTAGAGTTACTTGATACTGATAGAATTATTCATCATAGTAATCTTTGGATTGTAAAAACCTTTTCTTTTGGTGCTTAAAGTTGAAGTCACTCAACATCATTGATATTTGTAATTGATTTAGTTAAATAAATAGTATATGGTAGGCTTATGTGATATCATTATTCCAATATAAATCTAAAATAACAATGGCTAATCATACAATATAAATCATGCTAAAGAAGACGAAATCCTTATCGAACTTATGTATGTAAACAAAGTGACAATTATTTTCCTGACAAAGGGAGGAGGATGGGAAATTAAGTCATGGGAATATAATTGGATCTTGGATGGTTAAGGATGCCTACCATTGTCATTCTAATTTAGTACAAGTAGAAAATATAACACGCTTTCACTTCAATTAGAACCAGGCCTTTGTTTTAAGCCCAATTAGGCATTGCTCCATGGACCTTCGCACTAAGTTTGGGCTTATAACCGAAGGCAGAGGTCATTTAATATCTTTTTAAACCCATACTAAATAAAATTAACTTCTAAACCTATTTTGTATAATGAGTAAACAACTTTTTTCCACCCAAGATTTGCCTTAATGACACTTTTCCACCCAAAAAGTTTCAAAATACCACTTTCCCACTGAAAGTTTATATTCCGTTAATAGCTGACAAAAATTCTCTCCATCACCACCATTCGAACCTTCGGTCTCTTCTCTACAAAACTCCTTTCACTCAAGCATCTTATTTCTCGCAAATTGTCGGCCACCACAAAGCTAGAGATTCCTATTCTTAGCTAATTTTTGGTTGATTCTGATAGCGAATATTCAATCGGTCATTACCATTCGATCCACCAGCCTCCACTCTACAAAACCCCTCTTAAATTGGCTCTTGGTAACTCGCCAAACGTTGGTTGAGAAAGTAAAATGTATTTTGGGTATATATAAACTTTGGGTGGAAAAGTTGTATTTTAAAACTTTTTGGATGGGAAAGTGTCATTAAGGAAAACCTTGCGTGGGAAAAAGTCGTTTACTCTTTGTTTAATTCCTATCTAAGTAACTCGATAACATAAATGCAAATTCTTGGAGATGAAACATGTAAAGCTTGCAAATCTTACTCTCTTGAGCAATACATTAGTAGAAAACATTTCAGTATGAACTGGGATTTGAAGAAGTTTGTGTCTCAACCTTTAACTATGATAATCCCAACCTCTGCTACGAGATAGTTCTGGTTGTGTATGCGGTGCGCTAATAATTTGATTAGTTATTGGGGACCTTCATCAGAAGAAACACATGAATGATTTGCAAATCCTTGCTGTTTGATAATTGAAACCGATAGACATGATTATTTGAATACGAATGAATTTGATGATTTTCTTCCTAATTTATATGTCATAAACGTGAGATTGTAATAACGAAGCTTAAATAACATCACTCCTAAATAAATTTAAACTTATTTTGAGTGCATTTTGCAATTAAGATTCACAAATATTGTTTAGATT